TTTTGTTGTTGAAAACTGTATAAAAAAGTTGTATGAGGTCCCCCCCCCCCCCAAAGACCAATATCAGACTCTCAAAATGTTCTGAGGCCACCCCCACAATGCCCAAACAACAGTCTGTTATCCTAATCTATAGGTCTAGATACTTGACAGATACCTATTTCCAGGCCGAAGTTCCACTCTATATATATTTTTTAAATATTTTTTGTAATATATTCATTTTAAATAATTGTTGAGGTATGGGCATGTACATGTACATGCACCTTCATTTCCACCAACAGTAAAACAAAATGACCCATGGATGTCCATATCTGATAGTCCCTTTAAACCAGATCACATGTCCTAGTGGTTACCCTATCTTGATCGTGATAGTCTTTTGCAGGAAGTTTGTGACTCCAACAAGACAACAAGCAACCTTCAACCGAACACTGTACTCTCACTATCCTGCTTGCGAGATGACATCATACACTGTCTCCATGGCAACAAAGTCAAACAGTTCAGGAGTCACGGCCGGTCGTCCCCTGGAAATTCTGTGAGTGCTTGGGCTGAAATATGATTTCAACCTGGAATACTCATTTTGGCAAACAATAGAATTTTCTAAAACATTGACACAGGTACACCATACATAGAACATATTGTGCATTTAACATGTATTGTATGCACATTGCTTGTACATAAATGTTGTATTACACTGTATGCATACAATGATTGATATGCATGAATGCAATAAATCGAAAGAGAGTACACAAAAGTATTACACATTTTAATAAGATTGTACACATAATGTGCCTGTATGTTTGGATTATAAAGTTGGAACACTGTAATGCATGATGTAGATATATGTCTTCAAAAATACAACTAAATGTCACCAAGGCCAGGCTAAGGAATTCCTGATCCCACAATGAGCCCAACTGAGTAGTGTATTGATATGGGCATAAAATTGTACATTTGCTATAAAACCATTTATAACTAATTCACAAATCTATACCCAGAAAAAACAGCTTCACCAGAATCTGTTTTTACTTAACCTCACCATGGACTCTAGTACCACATGAACTCACAAAAACACTTTCATTATCAAGTTCTACATTCATAGGCAATGGTTCCAAACTTTAATCTCTTCAGACATGTTTTTTCATCAAGAGCCGGTGTCTATCCTTGGTTGTATTTCATTCTTCTTTTAACTGGAAAGGAAAACCACTAATTAGTTTACAGCTTTAACCTTGAGTTGTCATATCTCTCCCACAAAAACCTCCCACAAAAACCTGACTGGTCTACACTACAGCTTAAGCCATGGCATGCCACAATACTACATTTACTATTTATTTATTTGGAATGTACATGAACATGTACTGTACTGCTGCATTTATGACATTTTCATGTGATTTGTATGTTACACATCAAATTTTGTTCATATTTCTGTTTATATCCTTGTACTCATCATTCTTTGACTATTATGTGGTAGATCAAAGTAAATAGTAATTATATCTTGCAAATGAAAATATGTTTACATTGTTATTTTATTCATTGTTCTAATGAATATTCTTTCTCCTTTTCGTTCTTTCTTTCTTTCTCCCCCCCCCCCCCACCCCCCCCTCCCTTTCCCTCTCCTCTCCCTCTCTCTTTCTCTCTTTCTCTCATATTTCTTCTCTTCAATCTCTTCAATCCCTTCCCTTTCCTTTCTCCATGTCTTCTTATACTGTTTTCACACTGGCAATATTTTGCTTAACCCCGTACTATAGGTGGGGTTAAGGGGGGGTCTTAGCCCCACCTATAGTACGGGGTTAAGCCTATTCCACTTTCTGTTCAGACTGGTTTTTACCAAAGTGGGCTCAAGTTGGCTAACCCCACCTATAGTACGGGGTTAACTAACCCTGCAAAATAGCAGGGCTAACTCCGCAATTGTGGTGCTAACTCCTGCTAACCCCGCAATTGCGGTGCTTAGCAAATGAATGAGAACAGAAACGAAAAATAGTCCGGTACTACGCAATGGAGCGTATCGCAGCTGGCCAGATGCGAAGTATGTCCAATCATAACATACACGATATCCGGGGTTAACGAAATGCAGTGAGAACAGCGGGAATTTTCTTATTCCGGAATAGGCGCTAGTACGGGACTAAAAACAGCGAGTGTGAAAAGCCAAAAAAATAGTCCGGGTTAAGGATAGTACGGGGCTAAGCAAAGTACGGGGTTAAGCAAAACCAGTGTGAAAAGAGTATAATTCACTCCCACCCTCTCTCTCTCTCTCTCTATCTCTAGACTCCTTTCCTTCCATTTCTCCTCCTGCCCTTCCTTTCTTTTTACAAATTCCTTCTTTCATCTTTTTTTCTTTCTTTCTTTCTCCACAGTTTATTTATGTTCAAGAATTCAGGAATCATGTTCTTCTCCTACATGCATGTAATCAGATTAATCCGTCACTCAGGAACTAAATTCAACAACATCAGATTTCATCTAATAAATGAAATCTAATCCTCCTTGGGAGGCCTTGGTAGATGTAAAAGGGCAAATCATAAGTATTTTAATGTTGCATGTACTTGTACATGTATGTTTAAATGCTGCAGAACATATCCCATGCCAACAATCTTTTCTTTTCAGGCTGAATATATGGGCTAATAACGTTGATACATCAGGTATAATTATTTTGTCTTTCAATTGATTTGCCAGGAGTGCTCAACAAACAGAAACCTTTAAATTTCCAGGTTAAACGTGAGTCCTGTAAAAAGCACATGCCTTCACCAAAGGAAATGCTGTATAAGCTGTTATTTCCCTTTTGTCCAATATGATTACATAACCTGTCTATGTGCATAAACATGTACCTGTACCCTCTAAGAACGCAAACAGAGATAGGTGTATAGGAAAGCGTTCAGTAGAATCTCACAAAGGCTTCCTCTTCTTCGAGTAGCGGCAGGGGCCTATTCTATTCAGAACATCATCAGTATTTTACTTAGCAATTTTATACTTGGTACTATGTTTTCAATCGTATTCACATGACATGTAAACATTTTACTTTGGCAAGCAGATTTGAATTGAAATACTTTTCATAAGCATTGCACGTGACATTGTTATTCCAAAATAATGCATAACTAACTAATAAAATGCGCTATAACAAAATTGGGCACAGCTTATGATGACTGCTTTTGAAGAAAAAAAACATAAGTCTGCCAATTGAGACCTCCAAAATAGCAGGTTAAAAGCCTGCTAGTGCCAGAGCTGTCTTAATCTTAGGGTAAAATACTTGGCCAAAAGCTTCAACTGAATACCACAGTTGGCTAAGTATTTTATCTAGAAGCCAAACCAGAATAAAAAACTAAACTTTCTGACATATTCAAGTATTGAATTGAACAACAGCCCTGGTTCACCGTTTTAAAGTGTTGTACAGTATGTAGTACATGTTTATTCATAATAGTCACTAAATTGTATCTTTGATAAGATCAATACGAGATCCACCTCTTTGACATGATGTTGCTGCTACTATTTTCTTGTTTTATCTTCTTGGTCACTCCCATATTTTCTTAGAACTCTTTCACTATTTCCACCTTTCAAACATCATTTTTCTTTCAGACCTGCTGAAAATTTATTCTCTTGGCTGAATCTAAGTTTTATCACAAAATATAAATTCACTTCACTTAAATTCAATTCATTCTCTTTTAGTTATATATTCAGTCTTATCAAATTAAGAAATACAATATAATTAATAGAACATTACTTCAGTTTTCAAATTTTCTAGGTTTTATCATATTTAGGGTTGTCATCTCATGACCCCAAATGGGTCAAAGTAATTGACAGCTAAAAAGACTTTTTAGGCCTAATTATGTTTGTGTAAGGTTTAATTCCATTATTTCTGTACTTTACAATGTTTCCATTCTTGTCACTCCTGGGCATAAGCGCAATGTAAACATAAAGCGCAATGTCGATTCCATCATAAGTTGTAATTATTTTTGTTCTCTCTCTATTCTCCTCCCTCCCCTCCTCCCCTTTCTCCTCTCTATCTCTCCCCCTCTTTCTTATCCTCCTACATCTTTCTCTCTCTCTCTCTCTCTCTCTCTCTCTCTCTCTCTCTCTCTCTCTCTATCTTTCTCTCTCTATATGTATCTCCATCTCTCTTTCTATCTCTCTCTTTCTCTCTCTCTCTATCTTTCTCTCTCTGTACGTATCTCCATCTCTTTATCTATCTCCCTCTTTTTTTCTCTCTCTCTTTCTCTATTATGTATCTCCATCTCTCCATCTATCTCCCTCTCTTTCTCCTGTCCTCTGTGCCTCCCTCTCCTTTATCTCCTCCTTACTTTTCCCCCTATCTTTCTTCTCCCCCACCTTATTCAAATAAATGCACAAAGAAATACATATGTACTATTATTCAAATATTATTTCAGTTGCAGAAGTTCAAGGTAAATATTTAAGCCCCTGTCCCAGTTTACAGTCATACAAGTACAGTACATGCACAAAGAACAGGGAATAATTTTCCTCAAATTTTTTGATTAGCAATTTCAGCCGATGGATGAATATTTAAAATGAAATTCTGTACATTTCTATGGAAGAAAACTGCTACACAAAAGATATTTTTATAGCAGTCATGCAAAAATGCATAGCAAATTGCGATGCGATACCAGGAAAATTATTCCCTGAAGAATATTAATATGGCTCATAGAAAAAAATTATAATGATATTATAAGACAGGAAGTAACTTAAAATCATGAAGAAAACACTATATGAAGTGACAGAAGTTTCCAGCATACATTTTCCTCTTCTCTTGATAAATAAATAATCACTAGAGAAAAGGAAAACCTGCATAAACTACAAAACATCAACCTGTTGGATTTCATTTTAATTTCTGTCTATAACATGCATTTCAAATGGGTTTAATATTATTAAGCTGTCTCTTGTTTAACATTTAATGTGTCAAAAATGGTACAGTGTACATTCATCATAATTGTCAATATTATCATTGTTAATTTTTCAAAAAGTTGGCTTAAAGAGTCACTGAGTGTTGAAAGAAATAAAATGAATCAGTAGCTTGAAAAAAGATAACGATGCATTTACGAGAACTGAAAAAAGAACAGATCAGATGTTGATAAAGTTGGTTTCAATCTCTGAATAATAGCGATAGAAACTGGTTGCTCTTATAATAAGTAATATTCGTAAGCCATCACAAGCGTTAACTCTTTGTTAAAGTATATACACACCTGTATGAGTAAACGCCTTTCCGGCTCCGTAAAGAAAAAGTGTTCAGTAAACTGCAAAAGCTACATGTATACTGTAGATGTATTAAAGTTAGAAAGCTCATAATCTAGCCTTTGAAAAAAAACCTTGATGCCAACATTTACCATACGATGACTTTATACTGGTGGTGATTTTGAGCCAACATGTTACTATTTCTGATCTGACATACACTTCATGGACAAGTACTCTGGGCTTTATTTCCTCAAAGATAGGGATATGGGCAGGGTTGTGATTGGGTTTTAGGTTGTTAGGGGTTAGGGATATTGTTCAGTGTAGTGTTTAATCCAGGGTCAAAATTAGGAATTTGGTTAGTGTAAGACCGTGACTGCAGAGCTATGAATAGCATAACCCCTGAATTACACAATTTTTTTTACTCTCGTAACGCCAATACTTCCAGTTATAGTTCCTAGTGGACCTTTTGGAAGAGATGAACACAAGGTACAAGGATTGCCAGCGCATGTGTCGTACAATACATTTTTCACTGTGTTTCGCCTTACAGCCTGGCACACAAGGCTAGGAGTGGGTGAATACTCTGCAGGACGTTCCAGTTCACGAAGTGATGAATATTTGTTGACCACCAGTATCTAAAGCTTTGAACTAAATATAAACCAATTTCTTCTTACCTGGTGATACTGTGAGGTTTGTGGATGACTCAAAGACGCCTTGCAATGTCACCTGACACCAGTAAACTCCACTGTCTGCTTGTGTGGTTTCATTAATAGTCAAAGAATAATTTCTTGTCATGTCAACCCTAAGATCATCGCCACGAATTGTGCTGTTAGACAAAAGAAAGTGAAGGAAATTTTGTTCATTTGATGATTTGATTTTATTTTATTTTATTTTATTGGTTTCTGCATCTTTTTTCTTTTTTTCATCATACATTTTCATGAACATAATATGGTTAGATACAATATTTTAAGTGTATATAATTTCATACAGATAATATTGAATACAATATTAACATACATTAGATGCAGGAGGGCCATTTCTTGAAACCGTTACAATTCCAACTTCTTGGACATCCATTTGAAACATGTTGTGTACATGTAATAGCATTATTAAAACAAGTTTCTATGGGATGTCAACTACATGTAGCTTTAATAGAAACTAGCCCTTATCTACATGTACATGTGTACAACATACAGTACAAGCAATTTTCCTGAATTCAGCACTCTAAAATAAAAATGTATTTATTACCATTTCTCTTTATCTGCCTTAGACTTTCATTCAAATTTGATTTATTCACAATCCACAAACATATCATTTCTTTAAACTTGTATACTTAAGCATAGAGTTTGTTTGTTTGTTTGTTTTATTTATTCACCATGTAAAATAACTGTTTACAGATAATAACGTTTGGTTACAATAAACAATAATAATACATAGTAGGAACAATGCATAAACATAAAATGTTTGAAGCGCAACATCCCTAAGATAATAGCTGGAAATTATTAGGTTTAAATAAAACATGGCTTAAAATAAGACATTCTGTAATTACAAAATAAAAACAAAATATAAAAGCATGCCCCTTAATGTACCTCGTCTTGACAAAAAAGAAAAAAAAAAAAAATTGCACTAACATATATTGTACCTCAAAAGTTAACAAGCATATTTGGAGAGATATAATTCCTTTAGTTTTTTTTTTTTTTTTTTTTTTTTTTTTTTGAGTTGACACCCTTCTGGCACTGAAAAGATGATATTAAGGGTTTGAACAAAAAACATGACATTGTTTAGTGCAACAATGCATGCATGGCAAACCAGTGACTGTGCAGAGAGACAAAGAAGGCAACCTTCATGTACACGTGTTAATTCTTTGAATCTAATGCACTCTGCCAGGGTATGTGGCTTTGTGTACAAATGTCTCAATACTAAAATAAATCCATACACAACCTAAATGGATAAAAATACATGGAAACAAAAACTTTCCAGATACTATTTTCTTCTTTTGAATACCGGTAGTAGCTTCATTGAATTTGATGTCTCCTCTGAAAATGTATGACACTTTTGTTGCGTCAGGGTTCACTTGTTAAGCCTGAAGTGATAAGAAATGATAACTTACCGTGTCTTAAATAATCTGATAAGAGAAACAGCGGTATTCACATCCTCTCCCTTCTTCCAATCCAACGCGACAAGATTTGAGGGATCAAATCGGCAATAAAAGGTAGCTATTTCACCTTCTGTGACAAAGACCGTGCCTGGAGTTGTGACTTGATCCTGGCACATAATCAACTTAAACACTGCAAGAAATATTGTAAAATGTAAATATGTAAGAAAAAAAAGAGTTAGGGAAATTAAATTAATATATTTTACTTTCTGCTGGTCAATGGAAAATGAGTTAACTTGACAATTTCATATTTTTGAAGAATAACAACGAATACAGACATAATGAAACCTTTAGGCTTTTGTCTTGTACTCGTCACAGTAAATCGCAAGAATGAACTGACATTGTAAAGCCGGAAGCGAAAAAATGTAGTTGTAAACAAAATTTAAACAAAGCGAGTGAACGCTAAAATGGGCTGCCAGAAATCACAGGAAAGTCTTAATTATAGGCCTACGCATTGACCAAGACCGAGTCTCGATCTGACCATATTAAAAAAAAGGAGAAAACAAACAAACAAAACAACACAAAAACTTTAAACAAACAAAATCACAAGAAAACATAACAACCAAATTAAATTTAAGTTTGATCCAGATTCCAAAAAGAGACAATAAATTTTGAGACATTAATTGAGCAAGATTAAAGACACAAAACTCAAAAGTCACAACAATCACTAGAATTAAGTAATTGATAACTAATGAAATACATCTTAAGGAGGCGAGTTGGCTCAGTCGGTAAAGCGTCCGTCTGTCGAACCAAAGATCCCGGGTTCGACTCCCACCCAGGCGGATGACTGAAGCCTGCGTTGTGTGTTAACGTGCCCCTTCCCTTGTTCATAGACGCAGGTTATGTCAAGTGGAAAACACTCCATCCCTCGGATAGGACGTTAAATGGAGGCCCCGTGTAGAGAAGAGTCACTACCTTTGCACGTTAAGAACCCACTGCACTATTCATATAAGAGTAGGGGGAAACCCCGGTGTAGTGGTCCACCTGCACCCCCCAGTACAAGTTAGCGACATGCGGAATACCGCCCTGCTGACTCCAAATTCAGAAGGTTCAGAAGGTATAAAATTTGCTATCTAGCCTCAATGTAGAATTGTAGATCCAATTGCCAATGTATGCATGAAAACAATGTCCACACTATCCGTCACCCGATCACTCTGGATGCCGTGCCGTCTCCGAGTCCAAGTCTAACACGGCCACGGCACGGGGATTCACCTATATATTTACCAACACAATAAGCCACATATCGGACCGAGCTCGAGATTCTCGCATCAATTCAGAGATTACAGGCATCAAAATACACATAGGATATCCACAATTGATCACTGAAAACACAATAAACACTAATGTACTTGGTTCTTACCTGAAAATAATAATGACGTGATAAATGCAACGTGTACCGTTGCAAAAAGCTCCATTATATCCAATTACAGTTGTCCAAGCAGAGAGAAAAAGTTGTTTACGTCTGCAACAAGTAAACGCGCGAGAAATAATGAAAGGTATGAAAAAGAAAATCCAGGTGCGCTGCTCGCGCGCGCGCCGCGAGTATGAGTTCGTTGATCGAATCACTGACCAGCTAGGCTCTAGCTACATCGTCTCAGCTGGCGCTGTTTTAAAGCGATGTATTGCTCTCATAAACTACTTTCTCTATGCTGTGTAGCCTTGAAGGAAAAATAAATTTCCCTTAGTAAAAATAGAAAACAACTAAGAGGTGGAGCTCCCGAGGGGTCACGAGCAGAGGGGGCCAACTCTGGGACAATATTATTATGGCCCCTGTCAACACTTTCTCAAAACGGGCGGGAGAAGTGGGATAATAATAATAATTATTATTATATTTATAGGGCGCTTTATACAGATGTTTCTAAGCGCACAGGTGGTACTGTCTAACTTATAATTATTCAACATGTTCAATACCTTTAAAGCAACAAAATATAATAAAATATTACTAATACAATACAATACAATATCAAGGCGTAGATTATTCTCACTGCAATACTTCCCAGACTAACACAAGAGTAATAGAGGATGTGTGTGTGGGGGGGGGGGGGGGGGGCATTGTTTTCAATAGTGAATGACCTTTCATTGTTATCCGTTGTAGGAGTACATGAAGGTGTTCTACATTATGATTGCATATCGGTTTTCTAAGTTTGCTCATGTTATCGCCATTTCCCCCTCCCCCTTTTCCCACATTATCTTAAAGAGTGTGGGGTGGGGGTGCCCGTGCTTTAATAGTGCGAATCTGATGAGTGCCCCTTTCACCTTTGATAAGTGCCCCCTTTTCACATCTGATAAGTGCCTTTTTTATACTTATGACAAATGCCTTTTGTCCTTTCTAAAAGATGTTCATCTCCTCTTTATAAAAATAAAAAAAACTTTTTCACCTCTAATAAGTGCCACAAACTAACTTTTCCAAAGTATGAACGTGCTCTATCTTAATGCTATCACATCTGCCTTTTTTCTTATTCTAGCTCTTTATACCAAGGAGTTCTTGAGCCGTATAGGTCCTTGATAGCACTCACTATCACTAAAGTCTGTATTTTTTCATTTCATTTCATTTATGTATTTAAACACGGTAACTCTCTCAGCCTAAACGGTTGTTTTTCAGTAAGTCCGTGTTGACTGAATAAAAAATATACAAATTATATCACAAACAAAACCCAGTAACAAAAGATCACAAAATATAAAAAAATATGCAAAATAATCAAATCAAATCAACAACAACAAAAAAACCACAAAAAAAAACATGAATCATTATGCACAATACAAATTAACAATAATGAATAAAAAGTAAATAATTAACAGAGAGGTGTATTGTAAACCGAGAGTCTGATTGACTCTCCTCCCAAGGGTCAGCCCCCCCCCCCCCCCCCCGTATAAGTTCATGTGTCTACACTAAAAGTTACGATTAAACATTTAATAATGGTCAGAATGGAAGGAATGCGTGGCTTTCATAAGATAAATTTCGGAATTATAATGATATAAAAATGTTATAACACATAATCATTATGCAGTTTACTTGGCTCTTTTACTCGCCCTATGAGTGAACTTCTCATTCTGTCAAAGCCATTATCATCATTTGTGGAAACCCACCATACTCTGCTGGGTTAACAAGAATAGAGGTGAAAATATTTTGTAAAAAGGAAAACGTGGGCTTTACTCGTTGTTCCTGATTTTGATGATGTACACAATGTCATCCCTGACCATGAGGAAACGTGTGCGGGCGTATGACTCGTCAATGAAATGCATGAATCATCACTAATCTGTATCGGACTATGCAAGGGCTTCCACTGTCAAGGAAATTTCTTTATTTTAAGTAAAAAATAAGGAATTTTGAAAGTGTCAAGAAAATTGGAAAGTTCAAGGAAAAATGAAAAGGTGTAAATTAAAGTCAAATATGGAAAAGAAAGCACAACATTGCAGAATGAATTAAGAAATAAATAAAAGTTTTTGACAAAATCAAGAGAGTTACGTTCTACATAAATTGCCCTTTTAAAGCAGTCAGTCAGTAAGTCTGATCCATAGAGTTGGGCTAAAAGCATGGCGGGTGAGTGCAAACCTGTGGGCTATGGTTTATAGCCCACATTTGTGTCATACAATTAGCTTCTGGGGCTAGCCTGATCTCATCTTATACCTCCCTTTCCCCTCCCTCCCCTTCTTTTGACACTCCTCTTCATCATCCACTTTCTCCGCACTCATTCCATCCCTTCCCCCTACCCCCTTCCCTTCCATTTTCCTTCCCCTTCACCTCCCCTGTACTATAAGTAATAATAATATTCAGATTTCATAATTATAGCGCTTAATACATCAATAAAGTGTCTAAGCGCTTTACAAAATGTAGCTACGCCCCTACACGATAACAATATCTAACAGTAATTCAAGGGCAATCTTACCCTTGTAATAATTTAATTTATAGTTTTATGAAAGCATAAAAATAAAATTAACTTTTTTTTTTAATTGGCTTTTATATAGAGCTTAATACATCAACGATGTGTCTAAGCGCTTTACAGGTGTAGCGACGCACCTACATGATAACAATATCTAACAGTAATCTAAGGGCAATCTAACCCTTTTGATAACTTTATTTATAATGTCATGAAAGCAGAAAAATAAGATTATCAGAATGGCGAAAGTTTGAAATAAATCGGACCTATTATGAATGTTTTAAATTTGAGACTATACTAAGTTTATGTGAATTTCAAATTGATATTGGTCAGGGGGTCGTGACGTAATTACGGATAACTCTCCCGTTTGTCATGTACAAAAGTATCTGTACATGTCTGTTTCATCCGTATTGCCTTCTCCCTTCGGGCACTACTCGAAAAATATCATGGATATCATATTGTCATAGGTTATTTAAATGCTCACAAAAGAATTGCATTCTTTTATACCATACCTCCACATTACCTTTAGTATTCTGGTGATGCTACATCATATCTGGCATACCAACTCCTATGTCGGTATTATGGTCTATTGTATGATACAAGTTGAATGAGATCTGGAGCTTTGTTTTAGGGTGGAGCTATTAGCAGGTCTGATAAAATTATTTAAAACAATATTTAAAGATTAATGAAATATATTTAGATGTTTGAAAAACAAAATATGAGTTGTATGGAGCCCTGCTCATCGACAGGAATCAACTTATAATTGGATCTCCGACTGGGCAAGCGAGCGCGCGCGAGAGCAGACGACACAACACACGGTCCGTAAACGATATCCCTCTTCGACGTATACTGTCGTCTGCTGCTGTTAGTTGTCGCACACACGTTCTATCAGTGACGGATGGTCGTGGTGCATTCTCGAATGAGACTGACGTAGATTCTTGCAAACAACGTTTTGACTTTCTAATCAGGTACTTGCGTGGGTGAGACAAGGATTTCAAGACGGCGAGAAAGTGTTAGTTCTCCTCCCGCGCTTTTTGGAAAAAACACTCGTCTAAGTTATTTTTGTTGGAGTCGGGTTTATTTGCAAGCACGTCATTGAAATGAAAAGGTGTTATTTAAAATCTTCCTCAAGATTGGAAACCTCTTCATTAAAAGTGGATAACACTGAGTCGCCGTGTTTAACAGATTTAATACTTGGAGAAAAGTTCAGTCTCTTTTCATGCCAATGGAAATTATAATCACTTCATCGCCTGTAGCAGAAATTCGCCGGCCATCTGAAAATGAGAAATGCTGACGATCATCGATTAAACAGACGAGTTTATAAGGCATTCGGAGAATAGGACACACGCAATCATCAGCTATTTGACTGTAGTGTTAAGTCGATTCATCAATCTTGTTAAACGAAGGACACATCGAGTTTTGCTTAAGAAAGCATGTTTTGAAAATTCGCCCTTTCTAGCCTTCAGTAATATAATTAAATTCGATATTTGTGGTTGTAATGGTTGTTGTCTTTACGGATGTGTCTTCAACTCTTCACTTCTGAAAGCTGCCATTCATAGGAGATAGTACGGATTTAAACGAACTTCCGGGAAATAGACTACTTCATTTCACGATTTTTGCCTGGATAATCTACACGCTTCTTTCCCTACACTTGAATTTGTCCTTATCAAGATTTTAAGTGGTGACTTTTGTACTTTTTTTTTCTTCAAATGGCGGCTGTAGCGTGCAATAGCCTCGGCGGGCAACTAGCCCTAAGTTACTCCCAACCTGTCCTAAAATCAACCTTCTATCACGATATCTACACCGTTAAAGAAGAAATAGATACAAACTCCAACCATATAGCAAAGAAAAATGACATTTCAAAGCAGAAAAGTGCATCGCTGCACCGCGGTACCGTCCGATTTGTGCAGCTAGCCACCGCGAATTTATCGACGACCAGCGATCTGTCGAACTCGAAAGACTCGGGAATCGGATCTAGCGACGACAACAATAGCCAAGGCGAGAATACGATCACCAGGGACGATGAGGCGCCCGGAGACGAGGCGGAGGATGATGAGGAACATGTCAAATTCACGGAGACAGCGCGAAAATACACGAATGCGAACGTTGAGAAGATGACATGGAAGGAGAGAGGGGAGAGGATGGATAACTGCTTAGGTTGGCTACGGGAAGAAATCGTAAGTAATCTTTTGTTTTCTCTTATTTATTTATTCAATTTCCCTCCTACTGTATAAATACAAAGAAGGCACTCTTCGCCTTTATTTCAATAATTAATTCATCTCACTCGTAATTCGTAATCAATTATATACACATTAAGGGACGAGAAAATAGTGAATAACAAGGATGACTCAAGTGCTCAATGTCAAATAGCTTAATACTATTGCATGGACCTCATAAGGTTTCAGTTATTATACGTCCAGGTCGCATATACCTTCTATCCAACATTTATAGACAAAAAATATTATATTTCATAATGTACATCTTAAGAAACGAAAGTTAATACACGATTTCGTTTACACTTATAAACCTCTACCGCAAGCTTTATAGAAGGCTCATTTTGTACTTTCAAAAGTTCAATTTCGTACTCGTTGCACTACAGCTTTGACAAATCCGAATATAAAGGGTGCGAAAAGTGAGTGCAATTGCCCACTTGTTATGGTGCAACATCTTACTTGAACCCTTAATAGTTCAAGTTTGAACCCTAGGGGTGCACCTATTGTATGGCTTAGCAATTATTGGGTCCAAATTGGAAACTCTGTTTCTTAACACAAGATGCGAGGAGTGTGTGGGTCAATCTCCAGTCACATCAACAAAACCGACAAATGCAGACCTGACAAAAAAGTAATCCCTGGCAGGGGAAAAAACGGCCCATTTGGGGTTGGTGTGTAGTCACTTTGGTCTCAAACATCCATATTTTGCCGACACGTTTGAAAATAAATATTAGAATCAGGAATTTAAATCTGCCGATGGGAGGAGAAACCGTTAAAGAAAAAGAATCGCTCAGTTTGGAGTCGGTGGGTGTGGAGTCACTGTGGTCTCAAAATTTAAAGTTGCTGACAAATTTGTAAAAAATGATTAAAATCATGTTGGAAGTAAGCATCATGTTCTTAGGAATGAAAATTTGCCGATAGGAATTGACTAACAAAGTGTCGAAAAAGAAGAAAATGAGCAAAAATAAGAATAGGTTCCTAATTGATAATGGAGGCCTTGCAGTAATACATTTGGAATGTGTTTCGCCCCCATCCCCTTCCTCTTAGCCACGCCCCTGCACACACCTGCCTTAACATGATTAAGAAGACTTTAATAATTAGAAGACTTTAATTCTTAACCCCAAGGTTGCTGATCAGAGAGGCCTTTCACGTCTTAAATGGATTCATTTCCACCCCGGTCTTTCCCTAAGGTTCCTTGGTCCCGTTCCAAAAGAACTCTTACTAATTCCCATTTCTCCTATGTTCTTTATTGGAAAGCTTGCCAAAGTTCAAGCAGAACATCGAATGTCGAGGGGGATATGATCATTCGAGGGTAATGAATCATACAGTGACATTGTCATCATATTAAGGGGCGTATGAGGAGAGAAAATGATTGTAAAAACATGCCTTAAATTCGTAACACTGTATTTAAAGAGAAGGCTAAGCTCTAGGGATGGTGAAACATAATTGTGAGCTTTTTCCATTATTCTATTATGAGTGTGGAAGAGTATCAGAACAAAATGTCCAATGAAAAAGATGGCCCTTCAAATGCATCAAGGTGACGGTTGTGGACCATATCTTTCATGGCAAGTGTGTGGAGTCCCCATGTCTTTGGACTGTGCATGCTTCTCGATCCTAGCAATTAAGACTGAGCCAATTTCTTATCATTTTGATGATTCCAAAACCTCTCAGTATACCACCAAAACTTGAGTGCTACATGGTTTACCTTTCCAATCGCTTCCACACGATTCCTTTCACATTGCAATTGCATTATCAGAACTCAACTTTAGGCTATTTTTAACATGAAAGAAAACGATAGGACCCTCTTTTGCTGAGTAGACCTTTGCTTGTTTTGTTTGAGAACAAAGGAAAACATTTCCCCCGTAATTAAGTTGTGACTAATGTGTCATGTGTGTTCCCAAAGGGAGAACAGACATTAAACAGTCGTTGTGGAACTTGTTGGCAACAGTATTTGCTCACGCAATGTTCATGTGCAGATACATTGCTTTTGTTCCTCACAAGGTGCGGGTTGTATGCACATTGTTTACTTTTTTAATAATCTTTTTGTAATGCCTATGTATTAATAAGGATCACAACAGTAAGATATAGATTATCTCATATACTTTCACCAGGTTCGTAGTCTTCGAGGAAACAACAACAAAGCAAAAACAATAACACGAAAACAACAACAGCAAAAACAAAAACAAATACTAAAAAAACAAAATAATTAGTTCTTGATGTGTCATAAGAAAAGATTAGAAGCCTTTGTTGGAAAAGGAAGCAGTGAAACTCCTTTTCTTCTTGATGTTCTGTACGCCAGTGTTTTTGAAGGAGGGGCAGAGGGCATTGTGCCCCTCTTGAAATATTTCCATCCAAGAAAAAAGGAAATGCAGCCTCAGAAGTAGTAGGGAGGTTAGGAATCATTGTAAGTCAGGAACGCGTGAAGCGTATAAGATATATGACGAACTAACACTTAAACAAGCTCTGCTTCTAGTTAGTTCCTCTTTTCTCGTGCTTTTTTTTCTATTATATTTGTCTTTTCATGGCATAATTTTGTGTAATATAATTATTCATTGTATTATGTTTTGCACGAGAAATAAAGTCATTTGAATCATATTCACTAATTAGTTACATTCTTCTTCAAATAAGTCACCCCCCCCCCCCCCCTCTCGTAACGCAGGTCCGTCCTTACTGAAAGTATATGGAACACAGTAACTTGAAATATTATGCCCGTCCTGAGGGCAACGTCTGGACACATCACTGCTTATCTTTGCAAGCTTTATCTCGTCTGTCCTTTTCGTTTCACTGTCTTTTCCTATTTCCTTGTTGATTTGCTTGGTGCTATATTCCTACATGTATCTTTTATATTATCGTGCATATTTAGTGCATTTTCAATGTCTTGTATTTGAATGTATTTTCAAAATCCCGTGTAAATTCAATTTGATTTAGCCTTTGGCCCGGCTATTTCGTATGTGTTCTTAATCAATACACCAGTTCAATAAATGCCAGTGCCCTCGAACCACCCCTTTGCGAGATTTAGCCTTTACCCTCCAAATTGGTTATCCATGCAGTATGCTTGGCCTCAGGATGGGCAAAACATTTCAACTCAATACGATAGCATGATCATTCTCGTAATTTGGGGATAGAATTGAACAGATGATGTCCAGATATTCATATTCTCAGTCATCAGCTGGTCATAGGTTCGCAACAAATCCCAACCCCTCCCCTCCCCTGAATCTGTCTGTCTGTCTCTCAATCGTACATCCATTATACCGTGTTTCTATCCACCTCTCTGTCTGTTTCTGTAGATCCCTCTTATTTCATGGTTGAACATTTTCCTTTCTCCCTTCTCTGCTCCCATTTCATTTTCATCAAAGAAATACATGGTAATTACGCCTTTCTAGACGCCAGGGAATAGCTCACCAACACAGTGAGACTGTGTGCCAATCAACATTGTTTACGGCCTTCCCTCAGTCTCTAATTCACTGAATATCTGATAATCCCTTTTAATCTACAAAACATCATCGCATCCTTCGAGTCAATTTCTATTTTGGTCAGCTGATCGATGTTTTCTACAATGCTGAAGGTCATTGACGAAACATCAGATGAATAAATGCAGATGACCGCCGATTTATGACATCACCATGTAATTGAATCATTTCAGCATCTTCATCACGCACCAAGTGAGCCTTCGATTGTATTTTGACGCCCAGTATCTAAACAACTTTGCAGAATCTAAAGAATTTCATGAAATAAAAGGCGAAACGATGTTCTTTTTCCAACCAGGTTAGCCCGATGTACGGAATTCGTGAATTCTGACACCGTCTTATAAAGAGTTTATATTAATCGCAACTATGTACATACGAAATGGGAAACTGCAAACTTGACTGATTGAAGGACTTGCGATTGATTTGGATCTATCGTTACTCTTTATAATACGAGGCCCAGGTGTAACACATTCTGAGTGATTGTTGTATAATAAGCAGAGATTTATAATAGTATTGGCATTTTATGCAGCATTGATTAAGAACTTTATTTCCACTTTCATTTGGGAGTTTGGGTGCGTCGTACATGTATGTATAGTACATAGGATATTCTAAATGTTCGTAGTTCAGGCACGCCCTTGTCAGTTTTGTTTTTGCTCTAACACCCGAATAGACGGTCAGACACATTAATATTGTGAGGAAAGATGACTTTAGTGTGAGAGCGGTTGATGAATCGTATAAGGGGAGCCTTCCAAAGTTGCGACTGTGCCGCGACGCGTCGGGGCGCAGAGCAGGATATGAGAACAAAGGAGGCGCCTTTATGCGCCCATTAGCGCCTTTTTGCGTCGGATAGGAGAGGACTTCAGTTGGTTGCCAGCTCATTAAAATCTGGCTATTGTTTGGAGTCTCATTGTTACGAAATTACCCCGCCGGGGCGCGCCCCGGTGAAGCACTTGACATTTGTGAATGGGAGCTTAAACTTTGAATAGCTTTCGCGCCCTTTCGCGCCCGGTCCGGCGCATTAGTTATTCATGTAGTGCCCGCTTGTGTGTCGCTCTCGTCTTGCGAGATTTGACTCTGAAAAGCATTACTTTGGCTACTGATTTGTTTTAATATTATTTTACATACATGACATTGGTTACAATGTTTGTTCTGATTGTTCATTTTCCTCTCAAAATCGGAGTTCTGTAGGCGTTAACGTTGGCATGATTGTTCATTTCTTTCATCTCCTCCTGTTCTGTTCATGATTGTGTTCAATATACTGTATCAATTTTAATACAAATTGATTTGTTCACGAAAAAAACAAATTTATTTTATACTTACCCCACTCTCTCTGACATTGTTTTCCTCGTGCATGTTTTGACACTTTAATTGTAATTTTATATTTCCTTATAGCGATGTTATCGCATGTTTCGATTTTCTTGTTTTTTTTTAAACAATTTTTGTTGCATCTTGTAAACAGTTCTGTCGTATGATCATTATAAATCATATAATTATATCATC